TCCGAATCATGACCACACTAGGGGACAGTGGTGTGCGCCTATAGTCCCAACTATTCAAGAGGTTAAGTCAGGATTGCTTGAGTCTAGGAGTTCAAGACCAACCTGGGCAACATAGCAAGACCCCTATCTCAAAAAAGAAAAAAAAAAGTATCGAAGAAAATTAAATTCTTATTCTATTATCTTTATATGGACATACCTATTTTTTAAAAATAATGATCATTTCGTTTAAAGACCTCTTGATTCCTCACAAAAAGACTACAAGGTTGTATGGATCATGTTACTGATTTAATTTCTTCATTTTTAGTGGACTTCGGCACCAAAATTAGATTATTTTAAATAAGTAGGAATTAAAAATACTTTCTATATATTTGGAATAATGACACAGCTGAGGAGGCAAGAAGAGTTTTCTGGGGGAAATGGGAGTAGCTATATCAGAATTCTAATTTTCCTATTTCCCCAAAACATGTAATACTATTTTAACTACATAAATTTCTGGTGGAAGCAACTGATATCTTTTTTCCTCCTGTTTTATTATATTTAGAAAAATGATTGTTATGGTCTTTCTTCCAAGTTTTGTAAGGGTAAAGCAGTTTATGCTGGCTAAGTGATTTATCTTTTTTTTTCTCCCCTTTAAGAAAAAAAAACACACTAGTAAAATACATTGGCTTTTGTAATAAATATGAAAGTTGCAATTTACTCTAGTGAAGGTTATTATTGTTATCTTAATAAGTTTTTTTCCTTTAAACATATACTTGGTTTGTTAAAGTTAAAAATGTCTAAAAGAGACAAGTAAAGTAACTTTTAATAAACCCTTCTATTAATTTCTCGAAAATTCAAGTTAAAAACATGTTAGGATGGAAGAAACTAAGTAATTTATTAATACCTATATTTTTCTTTGTAGAGGCAAAAGTAGAAGAATCAAACAAAATCAAATCCCATATTATTTCTTGGATTAATTAATTGAGTGAACTCTCAGCAATGAGTTTACATAATAGAGTCCCTTTCCCAGAAAATAAAAATGAAACAAAACTGGGCTATGAGGACTCCAAGAGTGTTCTAGTTTCAAGCAAGTATTTACTTGAAAGGTTCCTTTGCCTTCTGGTCTTCTTTTCCATAACATTTTGGTTAGTAAGGAGTTGAAGTCTGTCCCTTAGTATGGGTCACTACATTAGGGCAAGACACAATTAATTTTACTTCAGCACTAAATTTAAGGAGATGGGTACAAAGATGTCAATTTGATGGTTTAAAAAGTAGATGATTCTAGAATCTCCTTAGGCACTTTTAATCATCTAGTTATAGTTACAAGCTTTTAAAAAGTTAATTTAACTTAAATTAACCCTCTTGGACTGCAGATGCCACTCAGTGGTACAGCGGCTGCTTAGCATGCATGAGGCCCTGGGTTGCCCTGGGTTGAATCCCCATCACCAAAAACAAAAATAAAACAAAGAATTAAGTCAATCCTCTTATTTATTTATATTTGCTCTACTCTTATTGACAGATAAGAACAATTAGCATAGTTCTTTATATCTCCCTTTTATTTCTCTTCTTGATTGAATGAATCCAGTTAACTTTGATATTATTATTTATATATGTATTATTTTTAGTTGTAGGTGGACACAATTCCTTTATTTTATTTTTATGTGATGCTGAGGATTAAACTCAGTGATTGATGCATTTTAAGCAAGTGCTCTACCACTGAGCCACAATCCCCAGCCCCCAATATTATTTTTTTTTAAGACTGGGAATATAAGACAATCATTATTATTCTTTGAATTGTATCTAGTTTACTTTCAGATAATTGATACTCATGCCTTCTTAAAATGTGACAATTTGGTTATGCAATAAGCATATGGACCCCAACTTAGTTTCTTTGTTGTATATTCTAGAATTAGATTCTCTTCATATAAATTAGTTTTTACTTTCCTTTGACATGACAGTTCCTTTTCCCTCTTCTTGCCCCAAATTAAAATTAACCATAATTTTTCAAAGACTTTTTATTTCCTTTCATTTTTGACTGACATCTTACTTGCTATAATCGTCAAGAAATCAATGAATATGTTAACTGGAATTAGACTTGGCACCTGTCTCTAAGGAACTCAAATTCAGTAGTTCTTGGTAGCCTTAGAAGGAATTCTTAACCTCAAGTGTTTTAAAAACTAACCTTGTATTCTTAAATCATTCCTTCAAATCCATGTTATTTTGAGTTCCCAAAAAGAGAAAAGGTAGAAAAAACAAATATAATATGAATTAAGTGTTTTACCTTTAGTTTGAGATGAAATTTCTACAAATGATTTCTTTGGGACTCAAAAAAAGCTTGAATTTTAGGGATAGAAGAAGACCAAATTTCTTGGATATCTATAGTCTGTCTTTTCCCAGTTCCTTTGCCACTCATATGACCAAGAAGAAATGCACTGTTCTTTTGTATTTGTAAGATGTTATACTAACTAGCTACTTAATTACGCTTAATCATGGAAATCATTGGCTTATTTTAAAAAATGTTTTAATGCTCCCTAACTATAAAAAGAGAAGAAATAGTTCGATCTAAAAGGCAGTGTGGACCAGATGTGAGTTGGACTCACAGCTCCACCATATAATTGTTCTGTGACTTTCACCTCTTTGAGCTTTAATTTCTACATCTGGATCATGGGTACAGTACCACTAAAGCTGACAGGGTTGATGAATTAAAATAAAGAAGGCATATAAGATATGTAAAGTGCCTGGATCATAGTAGGCACTTAATAAATGTTCACAGATTCTTCCTTGTTACCTCTGAATTATGTTTCATAGATAAAAAGCATTCTCTTCACTCTCAAAGCTACTTGCTGAGTAAAAAAAAAAACACAATAGATCTTCTTGATCTGAAATTTTATAGTAGATAAGTAATGAAATAAAAATAGTAAGAGATAAAAAATAATAGAGTTTATAAAATTCTTATGAAAGACATAAAATTACTTATTAATCTTTTTCACTTTCCTCTTAGCTGTGAAGATGAGATTAAATTTCATACTCAATGAAAGAATAAACCACTCAAACTTTTAAAAATGAAGTTAAAAGTGTTTTATAAAACTAAAAATTGCTGCCATTTTCCAGTTTTTTTTTTTTTCAGAAAATACTTTTAAAATCCATGACCTATTTAGGTATCTACTATATGTCTAATGCCATGGCAGAGGGGGTAAACAAACAAACAACCCCCCCCCCCCAAACCAAAAAACCCAAACCAAACCCAAACCGATCCTTGGCTCCAAACATGCCATTAAAACACGTGGGGAACCTGGATTTCCATCCTTGTGAGGCTGTAAGAAGGCACCCAGACCAAGTCCAAGGAGTCAAATGTTTCTTTCATATGTGAATGCTACAAGCAAAAAATAATCTGATATCATAAAGCACTTTGGAGAAAGCCAAGCAGGGAGAGCCGGGACTTCATGCCTGTGGAGTCAGTGGAGACCATGCATTATTTCCACTGCTGTGCCCTTTCTCTCCCATGCCGTGGGTGAACAAGCAGAACTGGTGAAGAGTTGGGACTTTCACTACAGCCTAGTGGTGATGGGGCCACACAGGGAGCTGGAAATCCCACCTCTGCTTGGCAGTAATGAGGAGCCCTTACCATACAGGTGTCCATG